TACACACACACACACACACACACACACACACACACACACACACACACACACACACACACACACACACACACACACACACACACACACACACACACACACACACAATTTTGTCTTAGTTTTTCCATGATCGGTTATTTATTTATTTATTAAAAGCTTAAAATTACACAAATTATTTTCTACTATAAGTAAATAAATTGAACTATAATTTATGAATAAAACTAAAATGATATCATTTAAAATATTCAGATCTTAGTCCCTTTTTTTTTTACATAACTGTCTATAATCATTGTCTGTTATTTAAGTGTTCGAGTGAACAGTAAGCACTACGTTTGTGCCTTGGATTCAGCCCCAACAAGGGCATGGAAAGGCATGGAAGGAAAGTCAATTAATAATTTTATAACCTCCTAAATAATGTTGTGCATTAATTGAAATAACTATAATAATTACTGTTCAACAGCCATCATCAACAGAAACAAAAGTTGAACACTTATACACTTATATACACAAACCTTTTTTTTGTGTGATGCATCTCCATTTTCCTTTTTTTGTTGTGGTCACTTCTCTTTGCCTATTCTCAGCTCCCTCGTCTTCTCTTTCACCCTCTTTTCTTTCCACATCCTGCTCCTTTATCCACCTACTCTCCCTCTTTTGTTTTAAATGTTTTTCCCCTTTCCACCTCTGTCATTCTTTTCTTCCCCTGAAACCCAAAGGTGATGTAGTTCTCCTGGCTGCTATTGCCCTGGCTGTGCTTAACTCTGCCCTCTGTTGGTGGATATCTTGCACCTTCCCCTCTTTTAATACAACTACAGTTTTCCCCCTCTCTCTTGTTTTAATTTGTCCTTTTTGCCTTCTTAGTATGGTGGCACACTAAATGCTAATATCAAGTTTTAATATTAACAATTTGAATATACAGCTCTGGAAAAAATTAAGAAACCACTCCAAATGTGTCTTAAATCTCAATCTCTACATGTATGGCAGCCATTCCATCAGTAATTTATAATATAAATTAAATATTTTACTCAAACACATACTTATAAATAGTAAAACCAGAGAAACTGATAATGCTTCAGTGGTCTCTTAATTTTTTTTCAGAGCTGTATATTTGGCTGTATTTTACTGATGATTGACAGTCTATTAGCATTTAGAAAATGCTGCAAATGTATTGAAACAAGTTTATATATTCAATGTGCATGTGTAAAAGAAAAAACATTCTTTGACCTATCAAGTCTGTTATTCTACAGTCCTTAATCAGTCAGAAAATGGTAGACACAATATTCTTAAACAGGACATCAGAACCAGAATCCAGCAGTAGAGTGTATTTTACCGGTGATTGTTGTTCCTTGACTGTGTGTTCACATCTTCGTGAGTCTGGCCCAAACGATGAAGCTGCTGAAGCTGAGGAGGAACACGGTGAAGCTGTCGCTCTACAGACACTTCACCAACACACTCATCTTCGCCGTCATCGGTACGGAACACACTCTTTAAAGTGGTCTTTAACACCTGCTGAAAACAGACGTTGTGTATCTGAAGCTTGTGTGTTTGTGTGTTTTACAGCATCTGTCATCTTCACCATTTGGGCCTTCACAACTTTGAAGAGTGATACTTGTCATTCTGTGAGTACTTAAAGCTTTACTATGAACTGTGACCTTTACAAAAAAAAGAAGGAATTTTCAGTGTTAAACCTGCCCATAAAATCTTGTTCCATTTGTATAATTCATGAATTTCACTTAGAGTTAAATTAACATTTAATATACAACAAAAAATAGTTTTCTCTAGATATCCGTTGCAGCTGCTTGAGTCAAGATCAATGACTATATGCAGGGCCTGCCCTTGGCATAGGCAGTATAGGCGAATGCTAAGGGCGCATCAATCAATGGGGGGCGCCGAAAAAAAAAAAAAAATTGAAATAAAAAACATAACACAATTTCCCTATTTTAGATCAACAAAGTACATCTTATTATCTTATACTACGCCTATATTGCGTACAGCGCCCATAAACCAAACCATGACACAACCCCCCCCCCAAATCAAATTGAACCGCCCCAGCCCCAGTAAAAACCAGAGGTTTATGTGAAATGGTTCTTTTTTTGAAATAATGGTTTTAGTGTGCAATTATAGGTTTTCATTTTGTAGTTGTGTTAATTTAAAATAAATGAAACTCCCAAAAAATGTGTACAGCTTTTATTAACATTGGAATTTACTGTGTAAGCGGCCGCGGGGGGGGAGCTTTAGAGAGCTCTCTCCTGAAAGACTGAGAGGCTCTGATAACCTCAGCTCAGTGAGGTAAAGGCACACCTTTATATGATCATTATAGTTATTCAAAAATAAGAGAATAGATTTTCATCTATTCTCTTATAGTATAAAATAATATATGACAGTAAAAAAAAGTTGTTATTAATAAACAAGAATACAGTTTAAAAGGGGAGTGATTTGTAAAATATCCATAAATAAAAAGAAAATCTGCTTACAATTCTGTTTCATATGGGTGTTGAGAGATGTATCCATAGATCTCTTAGTGTTGCTCTAAAAGTGCACCAGATTGATGCTTTAAGCATCAATCTGGTGCACTTTTAGAGCAACACTAAGAGATCTATGGATACATCTCTCAACACCCATATGAAACAGAATTGTAAGCAGATTTTCTTTTTNCGTCTGCTGAAAAGCTCTATGGAGATGAGGAATTCATTTTCCAGCATGATCTGGCACCTGCCCACAGTGCCAAAACCACCAGTAACTGGTGTACTGACCATGGCATTACTGTCCTCGATTGGCCTGCAAATTCCCCTGACCTGAACCCCATAGAGAATATGTGGGGTATTGTGAAGAAGAAGCTGAAAGACACCAGACCCAACAATGCTAATGAGCTAAAGGCCGCTATTGAAGCATCCTGGGCATCCATAACACCTCAGCAATGCCACAGGCTGATTGCCTCCATGCCACGCCGCATTGATGCAGTAATCCGTGCAAAAGGATTCCCAACCAAGTACTGAGTGCATTAATGGACATTTTCAAATGTTTGATTGTGTTTTGCTGTTATAAATCTTTTTTTTTTACTTGGTCTGAGGAACTATTCTAATTTTTTGAGATAGGATTTTTGAGTTTTCTTAAGCTGTATGCCATAATCAGCAATATTAAAATAATAAAAGGCTTGCAATATTTCAGTTGATTTGTAATGAATCCAGAATGTATGACATTTTTGTTTTTTTAATTGCATTACAGAAAATAAAGAACTTTATCACAATATTCTAATTTTCTGAGACAGTCCTGTATGTTATTACAACTGGTATTGTCAGCTCCTATGGAATACAAAAAAAACATTTGCTGGTCTTAAGTGTGCTGAATCTGCTCTCTCTATGCCCATACCCATGTCAATAACTTTTTAATTTTCGATTTCTGACGATCTGATTTATTAACAAAAACATTTTATCTTGTCAACAGTTACTTAAGTATTCAAATCAAACCTGGGTACCACTATTATACTAGATTAAAACAGGACATTTAGCTATTTCCAATGAAGCCACTTTGCATCATCTTCACATCATGCACAAAGTCAGTTTCACAAAACAAAGCAGCTCCTATTTCCAGCTGGATGACATTATTAAGAGAAATATAAATCCCCTTTTGTGGTTTCTATTTTAAAGAGGGCCTTGCTTTGCCACATACTTAGTGATGGTTTTTAATAAATATGGCTTGTGTTCACTCTTTCAGGCCGTGCAACGACAGCAGCCCTTTGATTCATCACTGGAAAAACCACAGTTCCCTGGGGCCTCAGCAGAGTTTGTGGATCATCTTGAGTTCATCCAGCCCAATGTCATCTCCGGGATCCCAGTTTACCGGGTGATGGACAGGCAGGGCAACATCATCGACCCCTCTCAAGACCCTCAGGTACAGTCAGGCTGCCTACAATCCTGGTTAATAAAAATGGCACTGTGACCTGAACTTTGTTAACTGTTGGTTCTTTGTGTACTTCTTCCCAACTCAGCTCTCCAAAGAGCAAGTTCTGAACTTTTATCAGAAGATGACTCTGCTGAACACGATGGACCGCATTCTTTATGAGTCCCAGAGACAGGTAAGTGTTTCCTCTTACATTTCCTCATGGAACAGCGGAAGAACATTTTTATTGATTTTATATCTTTTACAGGGTAGGATTTCTTTCTACATGACCAACTATGGAGAGGAGGGGACACATATTGGTAGTGCTGCTGCACTTGACCCAGAGGACATAGTCTTCGGTCAATACAGAGAAGCTGGTAAGAATCCGACATCATTTAAAAAAGATATATAATAGTATTTTTAAGATAAAGGTTAACTTTTTAAAAAGATTTGAGAGAGATCATAGCAATCAACCTACCTGAATTCACCTTTTGCATGTTCTTATGCTAGTAATACTAAAGGTATGTTTTTTCCTGGTCTTGCGAGTAACAGTGTTATAACTCCTCTTCTGCCCTGCAGGAGTGCTGATGTACCGTGGTTTCCCTCTGGATATGTTCATGGCTCAGTGCTACGCCAATGCTGATGACCTTGGCAAGGGCCGTCAGATGCCTGTCCACTACGGCTCTAAAGACCTGAACTTCGTCACCATCTCCTCTCCTCTGGCCACTCAGATTCCACAGGGTGAGCTCTCTACACCTGTTCAACCTCTCTTGTCTGTTAGTGCATACATACACCTGTAAATGTTTATTAATGCTGGACGTTTCCGTTTCAGCGGCCGGAGCTGCATACGCTCTAAAGAGGGAAAACATGAACCGTGCTGTCATCTGTTATTTTGGTGAGGGAGCGGCCAGCGAAGGGGATGCACATGCAGGCTTCAATTTCTCCGCCACCCTAGAGTGCCCAATAATATTCTTCTGTCGCAACAACGGCTACGCAATCTCTACCCCCACCAACGAGCAGTACAGGGGAGATGGCATCGGTACGAAGCCTTGATGTGGTTAACAGTGAGTCATCCGATTTGAATGACTCGGGGGCTCTCATGTAAATACGTTTTATTCTTTCTGTTTCACCAGCTGCCCGTGGTCCGGGTTATGGAATGCTTTCCATCCGTGTCGATGGTAACGATGTGTTTGCTGTGTACAATGCTACAAAAGAGGCGCGCCGTAGGGCTGTGGCTGAGAACCAGCCCTTCCTCATCGAGGCAATGACCTACAGGTTAGTTTATTGTTGGAACTATCTGAAACCATTCTGTATTTTTAGACTGTCTCATGAAGTGACATAAGCCGACAGCTCATGATTCTGACTGAGTTAGGATTTTGTCATTACTGTGGTTATTAGAAATGTTTTATTTTTGCTACTTTAATATGTAGGTAATGCTGAATTTACAAATTTGACAAGATGTACAATATTTCTAAAATATATATGTATTTAAGTTGGCTTTTTTTTTTTATTACAAAAACAGAAATCACATTTGTCTCTTTATTCCATGCATTCTTTATCCATGTAAATAACCCGGTGCCTGCATTACCCACAGTACACTACTGCCGTTTGAGTTTTGGGTGTGTTCAGTTCAGTGACAATTTCTGTAGCCTTATGCTAGCTTGAAGGAGAAATGAGGTTACAGATGTTTGAAAAACATACTTCTTAGCTCCCTCTGGTGCCACAAAAGGCTTTGTAAAGTGCATTTCAATCATGCAGTTTTTTACCCTCTAATACCTGTTAACACACAGCACAATGTGTTGAGCTGCCAGTGAATACACAAACTTACAGAAGTTGAGGAATCATAGGCAAGTAGAACATGTCTTTACAACTTTCCAAAGACATTTATTTTTCAAATTGAGACCAAACAAGAAAACACAGTAACCTGTTGAATCCTCACCCCAACCAAATACATGATTATAGAATAGGGAAAACAAAATTGCGGTTATGGAAATACATTGACAATCGGTGTGTAGATTTAATTTTTAAAAACAGGTTGTTGGTTTTTTCTGCATTACAGCGGTAACTTTCTGCCATGATTTCTTAATCTTCAGCTTACTGATTATATTACATTTGAGTTTCATTAATTTCCACAATACCAAGACATAATGAAAAGTAATGTTCTATAAACCAATGTTTAAATACAGTGGGGCAAAAAAGTATTTAGTCAGCCACCAATTGTGCAAGTTCTCCCACTTAAAAAGATGAGAGGCTTGTCATTTTCATCCTAGGTACACTTCAACTATGAGAGACAGAATGGGGGGAAA